TAGAGATTAGACCTTTGTCGGATTTGTCATAGCCCAAAATTTTTTCCCAGTCTATGTTTTCTTTTTACTCAAGTCTTTTGATGAACATGCTTAATTTTTGTAAGATCCCACTTATCTAGCTTATCTTCCGGTGCCTGTGTATTGTTAGTCAGGGTTTGTATCCTGTTAATGCCGTGTATTAGGGCCTCTAGCGTTGACCCTATTTTTTTTTTCTCTATGATCTTCATTGTTTTTGGTTTTATAGGTAGCTTCTACATGTTAATTCAAATTTTTTTGTATTACTCTAATGCCTTCATTAAAAAGCCACAAATGGTGCCCAGCTTTTATTCTTCCTTCTTCATGGAACATTTCCAATCCCAGCAATCACGGTATGTTCCCATAGCATGTTGTTTATATTCATCTGGCATCTGCTTTGTTCTGCTTCGCGTTATAGTTTATGTGAACAGTTTATAGTTTACTGTATATGTTTCTAGAGCAAACTACAATCTCTTTATGCTCAGGAACCAGAGTTTATCTACAGCTCCCATTCAGACCTTTCTTCTGAGTTCCAAATGCCCTACCAGCACTTCATACTCAATATGTCCAAAAGTGAACTCATCACTTCTCCCACACTCCTCTAAACTTATACTCTTTTTTCTGTATTTCCTACATCAGCAAAATGGCTGGCAAAACTATCCAAACACCATTCATCTAAGCCTGAAACCTAGAATCAATCAAGGGGCCTCACTCTCCCTTACTACAATATCCAACCAGTCATCAAGTTTAATGCAGTCTACATCCCACTTATTACCCAAATACACTCCCTACCTCTCATTTTTATTGTCATAACCCTACTTCAGGCCTTTATCATCACTCACATGGGAATAATGAAACAGCCTCTCCAATTTCCTCCAAAACAATGTTAGAGTGAGATTTCTAAAACACAAATCTAATCATGCCACTATCTTGTTTAAAGCCTTTCAATGTACTAGTAATGTGCTAATCTACAGCAACCAATTCTCTTTCCCACTTTATTCCCCATGGTATAAATTTAATCAAATATGTGTCATTTAGTGACTCCTTTATAAAATCAGTCCAACAAAATGATACCTCGTTTGTTGACTGGTGAAGAAGGAAGGAAGCTTGCTGGCATGGCCCTCAATCGAGAATTCTGAATGCCTTCTAAGAATGGTTTTTTCATGTGATCTGCAATAAACCCCAGTCCCCCAAATAAACGGTTTATAACATTTCAATTCAAATTATATTTTCTTATCAAGCACAAATAAGTATCTACTATACATCCATTATGATTGTTACATACACATTTTGAGATAAATCAAGAGCTAATTGTTTTACTGCTAAAATTTTCATACAACCTAGTTATTCATTAATATTAAGGAATCTAAGAGAAAATTAATGTAAACAGACATACAGCTGAATGAACAAAAAAACTTTACATGCAGAGTGAGACAAATTTAGATGAGATGAGATGGAAGAAAACCACCCACCTCTTTTCCAAATGTTAACTCTGATAGTCATCATGTTTAATAGTTAATTCATCGTCACTGCCATGTTCTGCTAATATCAGAGGAAATACACTACCAATTCACAAAAGGGTATATACACTAGAAGAAGATTTAGA